TATTACAAGGGCGCCGGTACTTCATGAACAAAATTCAGGCTGCTTTGTCTATTGAAGGGTATGGTACAAATAGAGACAGGGAAACTAAGTGTTTGAAATTAGGCTTGTGTAGAAGTTCCTTTATGTTTGGTGTGTGTGTGCATACAGTGTGTGTATGCATCCTTGTTTAGGAAGCAGTCCTTGTGTCCCAACTCCTGTCCATTACTGAAAGCTCTGGGGGCTGCAACTTGCACATCCTTACTCATGATCCTCTTTCCTGGAAAGCCCCACTGCATCAATGGAAGGCCAGCAGCCTCTAATTCCATAAGCAGAAGTAGGTTCCTGTTGCTTCTCAGATTATCCTGTTGTACATTCATATTTACGTGTTTAATTCCGACAATGACTGTAATTCAGTAATTAAACAAGCACACCTCTGCGTGGTTCAAAAGTCAGACAGTTCCAGATAAATTCTACAGTGGCAGCTCCTCCCCCCGCACCTTTGTCTTGGCAACCAAATTCTCCATCTGAGGGGAAACCGATGTTTTCTGTTTCTTTTTCCTCTTTCCAAAAATATTGTGTGTGACTGGGGGTAACTAAACAAACTATGTTCATTTTTCAAAAATTCTTTCAGTTTCCTTTTTTCTCATTATGCAATTAAGGTGTATTCCTATATATGTATTTTTTTTTCCATTAAAATTAATGCAGTCTTATTTGTTTATGGTTTTTTTTTTTTCTTTCTGGGATCAATGATCATATTTGTATTTTTGTAGTCTAGATTCTACAGTGATTACTTTAACATTCTCTTAAACTTCACAGTCACCCCAAGAATAGGTTTGCTGTGTTTAGCCAATAATATACAGGACTCCAAGGAATCCCCGTGTAATATTGGGGACATACTTAAAATAACACTGCACCCCCGGGGCTCCACAATAATATTAGTCCCTCTTTATCAGAAATTTGAAGTTAACAAGTGACCTGTATTTTATCTGGTAATTCTATCAGAGGTAAAATCCTTTAAGCTATTATGACTTACTCTCATAAGAACAGAACTGAAATTGCAATCAGAAGGCCCGAATTGGAATCTTGGTTCCATAAACATGAAACACAGCACCCAAACCAAACCAGCATACCAATTTCACAAAATCGTTGCAGGTCCATTTGATTACCTGAGTACTATATAGTCTTCAAAAACTCTTGAGCACTTAGGCTTAGTGGGCATAGGGGCAGATATAAGGGTGAAGAAGAAGAAAATCTTTTTCTCTGAAGCTAAATGGGCTTCCTATGCTATAGCCCTGGGCTCTTTGGCTGTTAGATAGAGCCCCATGGCCCTGAAGTAGGTTGGTATCTTGAGGCCAGAACAGGATTCCACTCATCAAAAGTCAGATCACATACACTTCCTCCCATCCAACTCCTAGCTGGCCAGTCTGAGCCATGAAGCCCTACTTGTCAGCTTGGGCATCACCTGTCTCCATCACACACCCTTGCTCTTTGGAACCAGGCTCATCAAGGTATGTGCTCATATCTTTGTGGGAGTCATGGTAGTATGTTCATTAAATAAACTATGGTTGACTTTTTTTCATCATGAACATAATTTTCAGTCTATTAAAATCAA